GAAACCATGGATATGCACAGATAATAAGATGAATATGCCACTAACTTCGAGGATACTCTTATCCATGAGAAAGTATGTATAATATTAATTTAGGGAACTTCTGGATGACCCATTTCCTTGTTCATCATCATTGTCACCGTCTCTGCCCGCCTGGGCCACCCAGCACCATCATCACCACCACCATCACCGTCAGTGCTTTAATGCAGATTAAACAACGAATTTTCCACCACGTTTGGGTTACTCCTCTCGTTCTTGCGTAACCGCGTATTATTTATACAGATCGATATGTGGCCGCAGAAGGCCATGTGGCCGATGGGATATATAAAAATATTTTTTTTTTTAATGCAGAGGGACAGATATGGGGAGGAGTATTGTCGTATTTAGTTTGATACAAGCTCGTGATTCACCCGGTGCTTAGCTGGCAAACCCCCAAACCCAGATGTAATTATGTGTTTTTAGTAAGTGGGGACAAGGTGGAGGCAATTTAATCCGCTACAGAGGACGTGATAATGTTTTCGGTAGCACCACCCAGGTGGAGGTTCACTCTGCCAGTGGCACAATGAGGGCGCCAGTGGGCAGCACCCACCCACATCGGAGTTTTTCTCTTTGATGTCCCTTTGAGTTTGTCCTCCAAAAACAAATATTGGACAACGGGAAGAAATTATCTTTTAAAAACATTTGCCCGGTTGAATGATTAACGTGTGTGTGTGCACACACGCGCTTGCAGCTATTGCATACAACACGAACATCACAGGCGGTGTTCACCATGTCAACTCTGAACGTAAGCTATGAACATTCATGAAAAATTATAGAACATAGTTTTAATGTGAAACAAAGTCCAAGCGCCTGTGCACTCGACCACAAGTCGTGGTAGAATTCATAATTTATATGTGCGTTGTTGACCTGTCACAAAGTAGGAAAACGAGCGGTGTTTGTCCTCCATACCTCCGTCTCTCCACAAATAATAAAGGCATTTCTTTCATCAGGCTATGTGCACCTTGAGGCCACGTGAAGTGTCGAACGCCCGCTGGCAGGAGGTCACGGGGCAGACCCAGGTGCCACGGGTCGACTGACTGAGATGACTAGCTGATGCACCACCTATGCCCCCTACTGTGCCAACTTGCTGTGCTTTACTCTTTGGTTCTATTCGATAAAGTCACGTAGGTAAAAAAAAGTCACCTACGTGACTTTACCGAATAGAACCAAAGAGTATGGATCCTTGCAGTCACGAAAGCTTCAAATCTAGAATTGCTGTGCTTTATCCACCCGGCGCTCCGCTCGTTGTTGTGAGCGTCGCTCCTCCGCCCTCCGTTGTTGTTGGAGGGCGACTGCCTCCAACTGCCCAGTAGCGTCCTTCACGAGCCTCCTCCACAGAGGCCGATCTTGACATCGCTGGTACCAGTCATCGGCAAGTCCACTCAGCTCCACGTCCTCCTGTACCACATCACCCCATCTCTTCTCTAGTCCGTGCCGCGCCCGTCTAGCCCCCTCGATCCGGCCGAACAAAAGCTGTTTCGGCATGCGGTGGCTGGGCATGCGGGCTACATGGCCCAGCCAACGCAGTCTTGCCTGCCGGAGGAGCTCACCGATGTGACTTTGTCCAGATCTTTCGAGGATTTGTGAGCTCCTCACACAATCCAGCCTGGTTAAACCCAGGATTGATCGTAGGCAGGCCAGCCTAAATGTTTCTAAGCGGCTAACACACATTTTAACACACATTCTAACACACATTCTAACACACATTCTAACACACATTCTAACACACATTCTAACACACATTGTCTCACCAGGACAACCGGGCCCAGCCAAGTTCTCTTGTCCGAGTTCGACACAAAGTCACGTGACACAACTCAAAGTAATCACCTCGTCACCCGGCTTATTACCTTCTCCATGTCATCTCAGTGTAGCTGGTATGTTTATAATTTAAAAAAATTAACAAGGGCTTGATTTGTGAGAGCTTGGATGACTGCATTTTTTTTCTGCGGAATCGGAGTCGGCACAAGCCAGACATGATCGCATTTGATAGTCACTTGTAATTTCTATACTCTCACGCTTTTGTGTCCTGTATATATAGTCAAATTTAAATGCAGCTTGCAACCATGGTTGGTTGGCCTCAACACTGTCTAGTAGGTTTCCTGTGATCTTCATGGGCAGTGTATTTATGTGACCGGCTAATGCTGTGGTCGGCAACCAAAATAAGAGACATTTTTTTCTAATTTCGGTATATTAAAAAAACCTCAGTATTTCAAGAGCCGCAATGCACGTGGTGAAAACGTCGAGACGTGGTGCTTTATAAACAAATAACGTCACGAGGCAGTCCGTCAAGAGCCGCATGCGGCTTTGTGAGCCGCAGGTTGCCGACACTCATGGATCTGTGAGAGTTGAGATCAGTGTCGTCTCCTTTCATGAACACATTTGTCACTGCAGCAATAGTTGTGATTGCAATATTAGGTATTAGGTGTGTGTGTGTGGTGCTGTAATTGTGGTCGTGATTGTAGTTTTATGTACAACTACAATCTGACGTGGCAGGCACGCGCTTATTGCCCGCGCTCCATCCAGTTACTGAGGGGTTGCGCAATCAGAGGGGAGGCTGAGCTCGTCGCTGCCTCACCTCTCGTCTCTTCCTCCGCAAATTTGGCGATTTTTAATATAAAAAATTATTGGAATCGTACAGAAATGACATTTATAACACAGATCAGTGGAAAAATCTTAATATTGATATCATTTGATTGGTCTTTTTTTTCATTTTCGTAACTGTTATTTTCATTGGAGTATGACAGGTGAGGCTCTGCCCTGCCCTGCCTCCGCTGATCGCACGCCCCTGGTCAACATTGTGTTACGTGGAGGGACAGCTCCGTGTGAAGGTGTGGTGTCTGTTTGATTTATTTTGCCCTACATTTTAGAACAGTAACATGCGTGAGCACCTAATACAGAGATGTCCGAGTGTCTTAACGCTCGTAGCAAGTGCATATTAAGGCCCTGTGTCGATCCACTACTGGATGAGGAACCCCCTCGCCCGTGCCCTAGGGCTCATGGGGGATCACTTCACCTCCTTCCTGGTGGTCATTGCCAGTCGATGGTGGGGAACATTTATGTTGGAGCGAAGGAGAATGCAATGGATTGTGCTGCACTGTCCTCTACTGACGATGTAGCTGTAATAACACGCTGGCTAAATCGGAAATACCACCTTCATTGCAAAACATAGAATTCTTCTATTTGAGCAGGTAAGGCCCACTGAGATATATAGCACTTTTTTTAGAAGCAACCTGGCCAAATGATAGCTCAACGAATTGGCTTATCATTTGGAAATGTTATAGCAGCCAAATACTGTAAACGCGCAGCGTTGATTCTTAATGTGGAGGGAAAAAAACTGCAGGACTCGGAGAAAATTCCACACGACCATCGTGAGTACACGCAAACTCCAAATATACATCAGGGTCGGGATCGAACCCACGACATCCTGCATACCAGGGGAGGGAGTTAGCATCTCGCCACCAAAACCTGCAACCATTGCCACTAATGGCCAGTAAACATGCAAAGTTGGGCCATCATTGGCATGCAGTTGGGACCGTTGGACCTACGTTGGACCTACGTTCCATATTTACTGGGCAGGATAGGTTATGAAACTTCAACAACATTTAGAATGTATTTGGATAGAACCGATGGAAACAGAAGCTTGTAACAATCGCAAGGCGTCCATCCTGAGGCTGTGTACGCACGTGGCCCAGGCTATGCACGAGAACCACCGTGAGTGGAGTCGTCGCCGAGAAGCGGTGGCCAATCTGTGCCGAGCTCTACGGGCTCCGCGGGCCACACCACCTAGCTGGGTGAATTTAACCCCGGTGAGACTGTATAACCGTACTCCAGACACGAAGTAATAGCGCCATTTATCGGTACAAATTGTTTGTGAATGTATGAGTTCTTAGTCGGGGATTTTTTTTTACTTGCCATCAGCCCGAACGAGAATTGCCTGCTTATGATGTCATTGTCCTGATTTGTCCTGAGATGTACAACAAATGTTTTGTGATCCACAATCCACGTATTGGCCGCCGCTGTTTTGAAGATAAGTAACACAGATTCGCAAGGGATGTCTCCTTCCTATATCTATCTCTGCAGTATGTTGTACACATCCAAGCAGCCACACTTGCTTCTGTTCTGGCAGTGAACAATTTCATCAGCATTGGCCCAATACGAACACAACTCTGGAACCGGTTGCAAATGGTTCCTCCGTTAAAACACGGAGCGTTGGGCGCGCACTCGGCTAACGGTTCCAACACGTGCCAACACTGGACCAACGTTACATGTTTACTGGGCACTTAGTAGGCACCGATGGCCTTAAGGGGCAGGGGTTTTTAAACAATCTAAAAACTTCAACATAAACTATGTTTTATTTTACTAGGTAAGGCCCTTCTGTTATAGAGCTATATAGCGCTATAACAGAAGCCACCTGGCCACAAATGATAGCTCAACAAAGTGTGGAATTGTATAGCAGCCAACAAATCTAAACGCATGATTATAAACGTGGAGGGGAAAAAAAACGGAGGAGGTGGAGAAAAATCCACGCGACCACGGGGTGAACTTCCAAACTCCAAATAGACAGCAGGCGTTATGATCAGGATCGAACCCACGACCTCCTGTATACCAGGCGAGATAGGTAACATCTTGCCACAGTGGCACCTATATTATGCACAGCCTGGAGTCACAGCCAACGTGAGCGGAGCCGTCTTCTCTTGGCAACGTCGCCACTACCACAGGGGCTCATAGCCGCGAAGGAGTTCACAGCAATCGTGATTACATTGTCCATAGCCTTCCTTTCGATCTCACCAGAGGTGAACTTCCAAAGCCCAGGTTACCCACGCTCAGGCTGTTGGCCGATGTATACTCACGTGTACAGAATATTAAGGAATGACATTCCAACACACAGCAGCTCCCATTGTGTGAGAGATATTCCAAAGCGCGGTCTCCCACTCAAACAATACTAACGGATTCAAATGCGTAAATGCGGGAAATTTTCTTTATTGGATTCACAGCCAGCGAACAGTAGACAGTCGACTGCTGATGAAATATATATTTTTTAATGTTTCCATTATTTCTGGGAGACTGCAAAGCTTATTATTAATCCATCTGCTTTAGTGTACTTCTTCAAAACACGTCTCTTATTCAGTCGGTGCAACACAGATAACATTCCTCGAAATAGGCATTACAAGAAAATACAACCTTCACTTCTCCAACATGTCACACGTAACGCACCAGGTGTTATTGTGTTGCGTGCAGTCACATTGGGCTGCACGGATGTGAGGAACGCATTCTCACAACCACCACTGCCTCAATGCATCGCGAGACAAGGTGCAATTTTCAGATTTTGTGATTGCCTGCACAAGATTACCAAAGTGTTCTTCTCTAGTCGTGCCACGTTTTCAACAGGTCACATTTCACAACGTGTTTTCGCGTGCTGTTTTCGAATAACATTTTTTTGCATTAATTTAGATTGCAGAATTGTTAACCGTATAAAGCAAGTAGCTTAGTAAAGTATACTTTTCAATTGTGTTTTAATTTAGGAAGCCACGGACAACGAAGCCTTTGCAGTTGATCACAGTTGGATGGCAGAAGTAATCGGGATGGAAGCGATGATCATGTCAGGGTCGTGTAGCCTTGGCTCTTCGACTCTGTAATACAATGATAAAAAAACACACACACATCTCATTTGTTTAAATCATATTCAGTTCAACTTAAAAATGCAATTGACCAATACCGAATCATCATCGACTGCTGGTGACTGTGGGCCGGTGATGAGGAAGCTCAGGACCGGTCCAGATAACGCTCGCCACTGATGTTAGCCGTGCTCGTGAGTCGGACTCTAGCACGCTCCTGCTAACCACCGCCCCTCCACTCCCCTCTCGTGTACAACAAAATAAGTTCAATACAGTATATGCGGGTGTATAATTGACGTAATATGCAAACACAGGATAATTTGTCATTTTGTACGAGTTCGCAAACGCTCAATATCTGAGCAATGTAAGCTGGTGTACATATGCGTAACTGTGATATGCTGAATATTAAGACGCGTGTGCACAATGAGGACGGCGCAATGAGTGTGCGGGATAAAGGAGGGCTGGTGTGCGATTGTTCTCAGGGGCCAACACGTTGGCTGCGATATAACGAGGAGCCAGGACAGCCGAACGTGATGAGAGCAAGCAGGAACGGCAGAGGACTTGCGTTTCTGTGCATGTGGTGCTTGAGAACCTGCTCTCTCAGTCCACTGCAAGCAATCGACATGGACTTTTAGTGCACCTTTAATTTTCTGTATGTGGTTGAGATTATGCAAATTAAATGAAAAGAAGTAGTTTTGTTGTTGTTGTTGTGCATAACCGACACTTGTCCCACAGGCGATTGGCGTCCACCTAACCGCACCACCGCCGATTTGCACGGTTGGCTACGTACGGTGCGAACGAAGTTCAACGTACATACAGTGAGGGAAAATGTATTTGATCCCCTGCTGATTTTGTACGTTTGCCCACTGACAAAGAAATGATCAGTCTATAATTTTAATGGTAGGTTTATTTGAACAGTGAGAGACAGACTAAGAACAACAAAATCCAGAAAAGCGCATATCAAAAATGTTATAAATTAATTTGCATTTTAATGAGGGAAATAAGTATTTGACCCCTCTGCAAAACATGACTTAGTACTTGGTGGCAAAACCCTTGTTGGCAATTACAGAGGTCAGACGTTTCTTGTAGTTGGCCACCAGGTTTGCACACATCTCAGGAGGGATTTTGTCCCACTCCTCTTTGCAGATCTTCTCCAAGTCCTTAAGGTTTCGAGGCTGACTTTTGGCAACTCGAACCTTCAGCTCCCTCCACAGATTTTCTATGGGATTAAGGTCTGGAGACTGGTTAGGCCACTCCAGGACCTGAATGTGCTTCTTCTTGAGCCACTCCTTTGTTGCCTTGGCCATGTGTTGTGGGTCATTGTCATGCTGGAATACCCATCCACGACCTATTTTCAATGCCCTGGCTGAGGGAAGGAGGTTCTCACCCAAGATTTGACGGTACATGGCCCTGTCCATCGTCCCTTTGATGCGGTGAAGTTGTCCTGTCCCATTAGCAGAAAAACACCCCCAAAGCATAATGTTTCCACCTCCATGTTTGACGGTGGGGATGGTGTTCTTGGGGTCATAGGCAGCATTCCTCCTCCTCCAAACACAGCGAGTTGAGTTGATGCCAAAGAGCTCCATTTTGGTCTCATCTGACCACAACACTTTCACCCAGTTGTCCTCTGAATCATTCAGATGTTCATTGGCAAACTTCAGACAGGCATGTATATGTGCTTTCTTGAGCAGGGGGACCTTGCGGGCGCTGCAGGATATCAGTCCTTCACGGCGTAGTGTGTTACCAATTGTTTTCTTGGTGACTATGGTCCTAGCTGCCTTGAAATCATTGACAATATCCTCCCGTGTAGTTCTGGGCTGATTGCTCACCGTTCTCATGATCATTGCAACTCCACGAGGTGAGATCTTGCATGGAGCCCCAGGCCGAGGGAGATTGACAGTTCTTTTGTGTTTCTTCCATTTGCGAATAATCGCACCAACTGTTGTCACCTTCTCACCAAGCTGCTTGGCAATGGTCTTGTAGCCCATTCCAGCCTTGTGTAGGTCTACAATCTTGTCCCTGGCATCCTTGGAGAGCTCTTTGGTCTTGGCCATGGTGGAGAGTTTGGAATCTGATTGATTGATTGCTTCTGTGGACAGGTGCCTTCTATACAGGTAACAAGCTGAGATTAGGAGCACTCCCTTTAAGAGTGTGCTCCTAATCTCAGCTCGTTACCTGTATAAAGACACCTGGGATCCAGAAATCTTTCTGATTGAGAGGGGGTCAAATACTTATTTCTCTCATTAAAACGCAAATTAATTTATAACATTTTTGACATGCGTTTTTCTGGATTTTCTTGTTGTTATCCTGTCTCTCACTGTTCAAATAAACCTACCATTAAAATTATAGACCGATCATTTCTTTGCCAGTGGGCAAACGTACAAAATCAGCAGGGGATCAAATACTGTTTTCCCTCACTGTACATACAACACAACCGGTCCCACGCCAGACGTCAACGCCTTCATCTGTACAAAGCAGGCCCGTGTGAGAGCCGCCGGGCCGCCCACCGTCGCACGTGTGCATGCGTCGCCCAGGTCAGTGTGGCCATGCGCCACGTACCCGTGCTGCCCTGGTCTTTCTCCCCGTGAGCAGCGGGGACACGCCGTCGCTGGCGGCGCCCGTCCCGTCGGACGTGGACACGTGCTTGGTGTGGTGCGTGATGGTCGTGCCGTTGCTCAGAACTTTGGTGACCACCGACTCGGTGACGACCTTTCCTCCTGGAGGCAGCACATTCGCACGGTGAGATGCAGGGGCACAAACACGTTGAGCAGGAGAAACGCACTTTCGGGTTTAAATGTGAATTCGTTTCTCCAGAATACAACGAGTTGAGTCTGATGTGGCCTGGACCGCGTGCTCATGTCAGGATCATGGGAAAGACATTGGCATGGGTCAGCTAGTCTCTGAGTCTTGAAAACTGACATGCATTCAAAGGTCCTGTTATAGAGACAGTATATATTACGTCAGGGAACAGTACGCTCGCCACGTTTCCCACAGGCCAAAACTCGGGGCATATTTATCAGGCTAGGTCTATTCACGTCATACCATACCAATAGAGTGGAATAATATAATACTACATTGAGATTTCATATCGATAAATAAGTACTTGCAGGTCATTAGTCACGTTAATATCTTAAATTATTATCACAAACATGCATAAAACAACCATCATTGAAAACTAAATCGTCATTCCTCACCTGATGTGGATGACGTACTTCTTGTGGACGACGACGACGAAGATGATAACCTGCTGGCCCCAGGCAACATGCTTCGGAACTCTTCGTGGAATTCAGGCCCGAAATCAGTTGTGAATAAACTGCCAAACCTACTTGCTCCATCACCACCACCACCAGCAGCAGCACCGGCGTGGCCACCGCCACTGCTGGATGATGTCGTGGAGGATGTGGACACACGGCGCCTACTGAATATGTCTGAGTGATCCGGCATATCCCACGTGCCAAAGTCTGGAAGGGCTGGGAGCATATCTAGGCTGCTCATGCCGCCACTAGCACTGTGAGCACTGTGTGTGCTTGTGCTCCCACTCCCCGTTTGCGCACCCGTTCCTCCGGCGGCGTAACCGCCACCGCCCTGTGCACTGCCCGTGTTGGTCGCTGTACTTCCACCTGTACCCCAGCTACCACCCTGTGCACTGCCCGTGTTGGGTTCTGTTCTTCCACCTGTACCCCAGCCACCGCCCTGTGCACTGCCCGTGTTGGTCGCTGTACTTCCACCTGTACTCCAGCTACCGCCCTGTGCACTGCCCGTGTTGGGTTCTGTTCTTCCACCTGTACTCCAGCCTACCGCCCTGTGCACTGCCCGTGTTGGGTCTCTGTTCTTCCACCTGTACTCCCAGCTACCGCCCTGCGCACTGCCCGTGTTGGGTTCTGTTCTTCCACCTGTACTCCAGCTACCGCCCTGCGCACTGCCCGTGTTGGGTTCTGTTCTTCCACCTGTACTCCAACTACCGCCCTGTGCACTGCCCGTGTTGGGTTCTGTTCTTCCACCTGTACTCCAGCTACCGCCCTGCGCACTGCCCGTGTTGGGTTCTGTTCTTCCACCTGTACTCCAGCTACCGCCCTGCGCACTGCCCGTGTTGGTCGATGTACTTCCACCTGTACTCCAGCTACCGCCCTGCGCACTGCCCGTGTTGGGTTCTGTTCTTCCACCTGTACTCCAGCTACCGCCCTGCGCACTGCCCGTGTTGGGTTCTGTACTTCCACCTGTACTCCAGCTACCGCCCTGCGCACTGCCCGTGTTGGGTTCTGTTCTTCCACCTGTACTCCAGCTACCGCCCTGTGCACTGCCCGTGTTAGTCGCTGTACTTCCACCTGTACTCCAGCTACCGCCCTGTGCACTGCCCGTGAAGGTCGTGGTTTTGGAGACCCCGCCTGTACCCGTGTCAGATGAACCTCCGTCCATCAGGCTCCCACTAGTGCGAACCCCACCATCATGAGTAACCCCGGTGCCCAATGGCGCCACATCCTTTCCACTCGTGCCAGAGGAGAACGAGGTGGTGGAGGTGGCTGTGTGGTGGGAAGCAGTGCTGGGACTGTGGGCGCTCGACGAGGCAGCAGCTTCGTCACGTGGACCGTTCCCCGGTGTGCTTTCATCGTGGAAATTGAAGTCCCATTCGCTGGTGCCAGTGTTGGATCCTGGCAAAAAAGGGATGGAAGAGAGAGCAGGTAGAGTACGGGAAAAGCAGCACAAACTCAACTCCACATGCCGAAGCGCACGTTTATCAAAAGAGCTGTCTAAGTGATTGATCATTGGCAACAACCGTGTTTCAAAATGCATTGGTGACACATAAATGCACACATATACGTACACAGTATGATGATGGCGTCTGGAGCAAGACGTTGTGTTGTGCTGGAGTAGTGATTGTACTGCATATTCTAGGCATGATGTTACTAAGCAGATCAATGTTCTTTCAAGTTTGGCTTGCTGTGGTAAGAATGAAGCGGTGTGGGTTAATGACAATATTAAACTGAACACGAATAAGCTAATAGCTGTAATAAGCACAATTAATGTGGCCAATGTTCGTAAAAAAAGAAAAATCGAGCAGTTTACAAGGCTTCATGTTTCCTGTCTCTGGCATTGCCTGCGATTTGTGTTTTTCTCTGATAAAAACACTTTTAGTACACTGGGTAATCGCGCCATTCTTATAGACTAATAGAGCAAGGCTTTTGCAAAGGTGCAATGTTTCGCAGACACAGGCTGTCAGTGTGGGGTGATGTTGCTCTGTGCTAATCCCAATTGAGTAATTTGCAGAGTCTTGATAGAGTTTGGCAAATGTGGACAATGAAGCTGGTACACGAGGGGCCTCCTCATTTCGAATGACGTCAGGGAGATCTGTAACGTCCGCTGTGAAGCGAACGGTGCCTACATTTATCGTAAATACACAACGCAGAATTAACCAGAGCGGCCGGCCCGCTCCGAACCGTAAACCTCTACAATGAGCAGGGGACGCGCTACCGCTGGACCACCGCGTCACCGCCTCGATGATGGTGATGATGATGATGATGACTTTATCGACGATGCTGAATGTGGCAGTGCGGAATGTCCTACCAGGAAGTGGAAACGCTGAATCGGGCGACACCGGCTGTGAAGGGGATGATGAGGACGACGTGTGTGTGGAGGAGGAGGAAGCCGAGTGGGCCACTTCGTTTGGATTGCTAAGCCGACCGTGGTCCACGTACGTAGGTTGCCTGTGGAGCACAAACGTGCGATGACATTACAATTGCTATCGCATTTAACATGGGAAAGTTTTGCTGTGAAACACAGGGTGGGTGGGTGGGTGGTGAAAGTGTGTCCTGTAATCCGGAGAATACGGTTGATAGTATAATGCACACGGGAAGGAGCTGGTGCGTCATCACGTGTGTAGTCTATGCCATGGCCTGTGCTGAGAGTGTGTCACGGCTGTGTGAGCTTGCGAAGGATCCGAGGAATGTCTGCTTGGTGCTGCCACAAGGTGTCACCGGTAGGACCACTTGTCACGGGAATGGGGAGGAGGGGTTGGTGGTGGTGATGGTGGGGATTTCTGACCTCTTGGCGCGTGGCGTGTTGCGTGTGTTAAGTGACCCGGCATCAGGGAAGTGCGAACGGCGGTAGGTCGTTTGGGCCCATAAATGCACTTGGCATGCATACGTGTGTGTGTATGAAGGTGACCGATTGTATGTATCACATCCACCGTGCGCATGCCTTGACATTCCTGGCGTTCATCTGTGTGTGCGCGGGTGCGGTAGTCTGGCTGTTAGCACGCTGCGCTGCAAACCCGGCGACCCGAGTTCGATTCCCGCTCACGGCTGACATCGGTGACGATTATCTGAACCGGTCCTGGGCCTCCCCTAGGTCGACTCAGTCTCAAATGAGTACCTGGTGCGATACCTAAAAAAACACATCGCCACGAGGGAGACAAAAGCGTCTGGGCGTGGTGCTGGCCACCCAACCCCCTCGTGAGCCGGTCAGGCCATCATAGGTGCTCGCTAACAGCACTTGCCCCAAAAGTCTGTTAAGACTATACGGGGGATCTTTGTCTTTTTTGTGTGTGTACGCGTGACCTACACATTCGTCCGTGCAGAATATTTAATGGCGTTTTGTTTCACCTGTGAGGAACAAAGTTTGGTGCGCTCGTAATCGACGACGTTGCTGATAAAGAGTGTGTCCCGTGCCCAGGCTGCGGCGTGCCTTGGCCGTGAGTTGGCTGGAATGCGTGGCTTGATGTTTCAACCCTCCTGTTGAGCGTCTCTTCCACCACAACTTCCTCGAAGCGTTCAAATTTGAGGTTGGCAATGTAGCTGGCGGCCTTCTCCAGCTGAAGGTTTTTCTCCTTGTCCAAGCGATACTCCAAATACCGCGCGCATGATCCCTTACACGTGCGCAGGGCAACGTCTATGTCCAGCTGTCCGGGCACACACATTCCAGTGAACATAATGGCATTGAAACAATTAATACAGAAAACACATCCGTTCTAGCTGGGGTAGTGCCTCAGGAGAATTACGTTACCAAAAACCACAAGTCATTGAAGGTGAAGTGGTTTTCTTACTCAAGCGAGCAGGGGGCAGTTTACTTGGAATGAGAACAATCCGGATTTGAAGCTTTCGTTACTGCAGGAATCCATACTCTTTGGTTCTTTCGGTAGAGTCATCACGTAGGTAGAAAAATAAAATAAATCACGACGTTTCGGGCGCAACACAAGCGTCCGTCATCAGGTGGGAAAGCGTGGCCTGCTGCTGATGCAGACTGTTGACGCTGGTGTTGCGCCCGAAACGTCGTGATTTATTTTATTTTATAACTACTTGACTTTACCGAAAGAACCAAAGAGTATAGAGAACTATCCTGGCTGTAAAATAACGATCTCATGGTGGTGGTGGTGGTGAGCCTTCTGATCTCCCTGCAAGCTCGAACCCATTACACAGTTATTCTGGTCGTACATGGTGTGTGCCGTTTATCCAGCACCTGAAACAGCGGTGGCTTGTGAGGGTGAGGTGTACATGGGTTACAACGTGCCCCTGGGTCTGGATCAGTGCCCTTCCTCGTTGAAAACATTGGCCCTGCCCATATCACCTCACAAACAGACGTGCGATTTGTAATTATTTTCTCCCTGTAGACGATTCTAAAGGAATAGCAATTTTTCCCTGCCCTTCCCCATCCTCCTCACCCCCTGTCATCGGCTCTGTAACCCATTCTTTCTTTACATTTTTAAACAATTACTTTTTTATCACCATCTATGAAGCACTCTGCAACGCCCTGACGTGATTACTAAACGAAAGCTAAACTTTTTTATTTCACCAGGAAAGGCACACTGATCTACTATATAGCTCTTTTCAGGAGCGACCTGGCCACAAATAATAGCTCAACAAAACTGCTCATCACGTGGAACATATATAGCAGCCATTGACGCACGTTTTCTGAATGTGGAGCGAAAAACCCAGATGACCCGGAGAAAAATCCACGCGACCACGGGGAGAGAGAGACACGCAAACTCCAAATATACAGCAGCAGCAGCAGCAGGCGTCAGCGTTGGCGATCGAACCCGGGCGAGGCAGTTAACATCTCGCTACCGATGGCGTCCTTTGCACTCTGTCAACACGCATTATTATGAATCTCCTTACCTCCACTCGAAGGATCTGTGAAACTTGGGTCTTGATGTTGTGCTGCAACAGGGTAAGTTGTTGAAGCTGCATGTTGATGCGCCTCTGCAGATGAATGATTCTTCTCTCCAGTTCCCGGAGCACCTCCGAGTAGCGTACCTCAAGTTCTGATGGGCCAAGCACAAATAACACTCTGTCATGCCCATGCAACATTCAGAATCAGAATCACATTTTTACGCTGAGTATTTCAATCAAAAGAACATAGATCAACTGGTTTTAGTTTTTTTTTCTCATGGTCACATTTTATTCGTATATCCCATCACTGTCGCAGCATAAAACTTTCAATTTCTTTCTCCAAGAGTTCATGGGGCTACCCTTGAATTCATTATGAACGCCTCATTTAGAGCACGCCCGAGCAGTCGACCTCCCGACGTGTCTCAGTTTGTCCTCCACCGCCTCGCAAGGCAGAAGAGGGGGCAGTTTTTCGTCGTACCGTTGTGCTCGTTCAGCGTTTGTCCGGAGGTGTCGCTCACGGCGCGGAAGTCTGTGTGAACCTGCGTGTACAGGCGTCCCAACCGCGCGAGCCTCTCCGTGAGGTCCCCGATGCGCTTCCCAATGTCCTTCTCTGCGTGGCTCATCAGGCCTTGCATTCGGCATCCATTCGGGCACTTGCGACCCTAAGGCAGACAAGATATGTTATTGCTCCCAATTCCTGACATTGCCTACTGCGTGTAAAAAAAAAAAAAAGATGTACACTTTAATTTCAAATTGTCTCATCATTTTGCAGGTTTAAAAAAAAAAAAGAAATCTGTCACTAGCAATGGCGAATGGCGTTTTGCCAAGGCTAACAAAATAAAATATAAAGTTTAAGATATATGTTAGAATAGAGCTCAGTAACATGGCAAGCCGTTCCTAGGGCAGCCACAAACTAAAAATAAACATCTGTAATTGGAGGATATGCGGATGTAATTTGGAATACATTACTTGGTGAAAAGAAATACTAGATGCTAATCCATTTTGTTGAATGTGTCTCATTACCATTTAAATGCAAACTCAACTTGACACGATTCTCATCCCTGTAGTTCACTCGTAAAAAATGTTTTGTTGTTGTAAATCCATATCAGTGGTTGTGTAGCAGCAGCATCACAGGAGCAGTGACACTGCACGCACCTGATGTTTGATAATCACAAAACTCTCCACTCTGGGGGGCCTGAGCACTGGCACTTGACATCTAGCATTAAATATATTTGTCGGATTCGTTCAAGTACATATATTGCAACACATTAATGCACTTAAAACTGGTCATCAGCGAGCCTCAATTGTTTTTTATTATTAAAATGAAATGATTTTGTTTTCATGCTACAATGATGAAACCAGTTGTGGCCATAATAGTAGCCAATACATACCTTTTCATGGATATTAATAAACGTGTATTTTCGTATGTGGGATTGACATTTAAAATGTTCATATCCGAACATGAATACCTGCGCATATTTCTAAAGACTGTGTGAACAATGGCATCCGATGATCTATCACGACATCGTCAAGTTTGCTTGCTTGAAATGTGCCCACTGTTATGCTTTTACCAATGTGTGGCATAGCTCTTGCTGCTCCTGCAGGTACTGATGAAGCTATTACTGGTAGGAACGAAGTTGTAAACTGAGTGTACCTGCCTGCAATAGATTAATGTGTCCGTCCGTCCGTCCCCTTTAAATACTTTAGAAGTTAAATCTCGTGCTGTTGGGTGTAAAAAAAATTCCAATGTTCCTACCAGCCCACCCTGCAAGGACCTGTTAATGAAAGGAAACATCAGTCGGAGTGAAACGATTGGAACGAGCCAGATTTTAGAATACGTGTTTCATTGTTCCACGTTCGCCACTTACCCAGTCGCCGTGCACGCAGAGGTCAGCTGTCGCCGATGCGCACGATCCTTGCCCGGCCGATCGCTGTTCCGTCAGGCGAGGGCCTCGCAAACTGATATCGTCAGCAATGCACACCTAGAGCACGTGGACGTTCGGCACGGCCGGTAAGCATCGATCGAAAGCACGAACCGCACTTGTTGACACGCCTATCAATCCACTATCAGTGCCTACCTTATTACAGAACCGACTCAGACCTTATCAATCTCAACGTTCATCCTACAAAGTCCCATCACAAGGAAGAAACACAATACAAATAGACGTCGTTTTTTGGCCCATATTGAAACGGCTGTACGCCGTATACACCTGCAAAATCAATTTCCCTGTACAACAATACGGGTAAACAGTATGGGTTGACACGTATGCCATCAATCGGTGTGATGTTGACTCCCACCCCCACCCCTGCACAGGTTTAACATTTAATTGTCTACAGGCATAATAACAATCCCATGAAAATAAGTTCTTGTGTCACAAATTTTCCAGTTAGAGTCAACTATACACACCGCCAGATATATGTACCCCTCAATTGCTGCCAGCTGCATAAATTGTACTCTACATGATCGTGTTTACATATCTGTGAGTGGAAAGTGACTTTTCTTGCATTTTATATAAATGTAAGAATTTACAGCCTTTGCCAATCCGCTGCTGGATGAATGGCATGATACTGTACTGTATAGTCGGAAGCAATCTCACTAAAGGACAGCATTTGTTGACTTCCCACCGAGTGATAATTTGAGTTAAAATTGTCTGTAAATGTAACTCAGGTAGTACAAGCATGTGCCCATTTATAGGCAGTATACATTGATACATAACCATATAAACCAGTGCAAGGCGTGGTTATTACAGCACATTGGTTATATTTGAATGGGTCCACAAAACTATGGTTTATAACAAAAAACCATGCGCTCCTGCACAAGCTCTCAAAAGAATATAGATTTAAATTTACCCAAAAACTAGAATGTTGTGAATTTCAGATGACAGGTTATAATCTCCACCACCATTTACCAGCAGCTGAAGTTATCAACATAATTCTGCAAATTTTCCACGGAGGTTTTGTCAAGATCACAATTTCTCTAAATCGCACATTGGCAGCAACATACAGTACATTATACTTTATTACAGTACTTTATAGAGTACTTCAGTACATACAGTGGCATACAGTATATGCAACATCCACTCATTGTGCTGTTTACACTTGATTTATTGAAAGCTTAACACACTCACGCGCCCAACTCCAATGCTTTGGTTTAATTAAAACATTGAGCAGATACAAATTGTGTAAAATTGGCAGCCGCTTTTCAAAGTAGAGCGTCAGTTATTGAAACTTTGTAGCATTTCTGTGACACTGAACTTGCTCTTCCGCCGTTATCTCGCCATCGCCACGGACAAATTTGCAAAAAAAACGTGTCACGGAAAAATGTTCTTTAGTGTAAGGGCAAAGCACCACTGACCTGAATGATGGGCAGGAGAACGACTAAGAAGGCCAGCACCTTGGATGACATGGCCATCTCGGTAATGTGTGCGCACGCACACCACGTTGAGAGTTACAAACAAAACCAGCGGCAAGCGATTCGAGTAGGTCCTGCGCGTTTCGTGAGCATGCTGCCTTTATATAGCGATATTGACTATGCGGGGGAGAGTGGAAGGGAGGCACTAGACGGGAAATGTGACGAACATCTTTGATGGGAGGGATGCGGGGAGGGGGGGGGGCACTGTGACTTGTGCAATTTGATCTCAGAGATATCAATTTTTGTTACTGCAGAATTCAGCCCATGCTTGAGCTAAAACCCACACGGATATGATTCTACGTTGTAATTTTATGTATGGCCAGGTAAGCGTGAAACTAAAATAAATACTACAACAACCGCCGTTCGCCAATAAGTGGCGGTGACGTCACAACGGCGCCCGTGCCAGGCTAGGTGCACTTTGCGGCCACGCGAAGTGTCAAAGGCCAGGTGGCACCATGGGTTGTTGACTGAGATGGCTGGCAACAACAACTTTCAGCGTTTTATCAGCCCTGCGCTCCGCTCGTTGTTGTGAGCGTCGCTCATCTGCACTACGCTGTTATTATTGGAGGGCGACTGCCTCCAACTCCAAATAAATACAGCATATCTAATGACATACAATACATCATAGCAGCTGTAATAATACAATGCATAACGCACTTCTGTATATGGTGTAGTACGGTTAAACAAATATCCTGGACCAACACGGCGTTGGGAGGCTTTGAAAAGTCGATTGACAAAGAGTTGTAAATCAATTATTATAAGCAAAGGCTCTAAAATATCGTTTTAAGGACTGTAACATAATTAATACACAACGTTGTGGTAGGGGGTGAGGTGATCAGTAATGATGTTAAAGTTTGGTAATGGATTTAAAATGCAGTCGAAACTTTCTTATCTCCGAATCATCATTAAAAAAACCTGCGGCAATATAATTTGGTTATTTTATTATTTGGATTATACCACAAACTACACCGCAAGTTTTATTTAAACTTTAAGTGCGCTCATACAATAATGTCGACGTATACACTTCGTATATTTGTCTATGTACATTTAGTTTCATATCAACATTAGAAGTATATGTGCCAAGGCCGTAATTATAATATATATTGGGGGGCACATCCTCCCCCCAATATTCAAATATGCTCAAAATGTCCCCCCCCCCCAATATATTGCTATAAAATAGATTTCTGTTTATATGATTGTGGTTGTACTTTATAAATCCCTAATCTCTGCCATTAAATACAATGAAACAAGAAAAGGTAAAAAATAAAAAAAACAGAGCAATGTAATACAATACACTGCTAGACATTATTGTAAAAAAATAAAAGTCCATCCTATGTGTTTGTGAATTTTGTTAATATTTTAGGCAGGAAATTCGTTTTCAAATTTAGATTTTTTTTCTGTGGGGGGGACCCCCAGACCCCCTGGAAGATTTGCCCCCCCCCCCCCAATGTTGACTCCATGGCTACGGCCTTGATACGTGCACATGTTTCGGGGAGGGTGTTTGATGTTCCCCGAGTGGAATACTCTGACCTTGCCATGTTTATCCCCAAATGCTGAGCTTGCAGAGATAACAGCTTATCATCCCGTCACAATGTGTTTCATGTAATGTTTAAAGAATTAGAACATATTTCATGTTTATTTTCCTTGCAACATTATTTTTTTTTGCTTGAAATGAGCAGCTGGGTCATCATGCAGTGACATCTAAGGGCCCAGGATAAATAACCATCGTCCTCATTATCAACTGATGGTTTCTCAATCGAATTACTTAGTTGTTTTCTGTTCTTTAAAATGATCGAAAAATCAATACATTCAATTTAGGAGTGCGTACTTTTTTTTTACAAATACTGTCCCATAAACATGACTAGAACTGGATGCTACTCTTGAGGAAGGGATATTGCTCAAAACCAGGGTTGTTAAATGATCGTCAGAGTAAACCGGTTACCTTTTTCAGAATCGATTGCCGGTTTGCAAAGTCAGGAATCGGTAACCGTTTGGAATGAACGCACCAATTGGCACCCACCAACGTACAAACCCCATGACGAACTAAGTCACCACTTGATCCATTTGCCTGCTGTTTTAATAACGTGTGCATCAAATTAGCAACGGATTAGCCTTCACCAGAGATAGCCAAGTCTCACCAGGGTTAGACCAGAGAACGCCAAAAGTCGAAAGCACGAAGGCAATGCAACTATCAAAGCATTGATTGCTCGGGTTAAGCAATTATTTGAAGTTTGCATGAATAATAATTTGCATGAACCGTTTGCACGTTTTACACACACGTTTGCATGTTTTACCCACTGTGTTCACGTGTGCATAATGCAGAATTGATGCCTTGTAATAGGTGTATATTTGGTGTTTTAACATTGTAACGCCTGTATTATTCATAATGAAGGTTTTTGGGTTATATCGCGTTATTTATAAGTGTCGTAAACCCTCCACCACCCGACACGGCTGAACAGTACACGGCTGAACAGTAAATGCGTGACGTTTACAAAGGACAAGTAGTTCACTACTTTAACCCACCGGTGTGTTGAAGAGTGAATCAACATCATTTACAATTTTGAGTACGACGTTTCGCTGGTAATTACATCCAGCATCATCGGGCGATATTGTCAGAATGGTGAGGCCCTCCACGTGCTCCCGGTCTTAATAGAGCAACAGCAGGGTGACGTCATCTTTTCACCCAATCAGGTGCAGCGATTTGAGGCGGAGAGGGGGAGGGTATTGTAATTCTATAATAGATTGGTAATCATTCAATTGTTGTTCATTGGTATTTGTTTCCCCTATTAGGAATTGTAATTGTAATATATCTTTTTTTATTTAATAATATGCTAACAGGGCCTCGCTAAGCCTGTAGCTGTCAGAGAAATTAGTATTTCTCTCAATTTCAATGGATTCACTAATTAGTCTTGGCCAGTAATAATTAGTTTTACACAACACTTCAACGTTATCAAAATCAATTGAGTGTCCTTGTTGACAAGCATGCTCTGCCACTGCCGACAGTTGTGTTTTGAGATAATTTAATATTTATTTGGTGTTCATTTAGTCTTACGCTGAGGTTACGTCCCGTCTGACCAATATAGCATCTGCCACATAAACAATTAATCCGATATACACCTTCTGTTGATAATTTAGGTAATGCGTCTTTAGTGCAAGATACTAGTTTTTGAATTTTGTATACTGTGCCAAATCTTACTTTAATGTCTTGCTTTTGCAAAACACGGGCTAATTTTTAGCTCATTCAGTAAAGTCACGTTGAAGGGAAACAACAAAATAATAAAATATATATAAAACAATAAAAAATCTCACGACGTTTGTGTTATGGTTGCCGTTGGTTTTCACACCTGATGATGACCGTTTGTGTTATGGTCGAAACGTCGAGAGAATTTTTATTGTTTTATATATATTTTATTATTTTATTGTTTCCCTTCAACGTGACTTTACAGAAAGAGCTAAGAATATGAATTACTGTAGTCACGAAAGCTTTAAATCAAATTTTTCACGGGCTAATTTGTTAGTTACTCTTGAGATATATGGAATTTTAATTGTTTGAACAATCTGATCGCTTTCAGCAGTGTTGCTTTGCGTTCGTGATTTGGCATTCAGTGCTCTGTTAATGTGAGTATTATTGTAGCCATTCTGTTGTAGTGCTGCTTTAACGTGTTTAATCTCTCTCACTAGACTTTCACCATCTGACACTGTTTTAGCCCGATGTATGAGTGTCTTGATAAGAGAGGATTTCTGAGCAGGGTGATGATGTGAATCTGCATTCAGATAGGCATCAGTGTGCGTTTGCTTTCGGTAAACGCTGTGTGTTATTTTGCCATATAGACCATTTCCAAGCAAAATATCTAGGAACGGGAGTGTGTTATTCACCTCCATTTCCATGGTGAACTGGATGGCCAGGGTTTTGTGCATTGAGATGATTTAGAAAATCATTAAGTGCAACTTTACCACGTGGCCAGACAACCAAAGTGTCATCAACATATCTAAACGAAAAAGATGGTTTTAATGTACTTGAGGCAAGTGCTCTTGTTTAAAAGTTTTCCATGTACAAATTTGCTATAGCAGGAGATAAAGGAGAGCCCATTGCGGCTCCTTCCTTTTGTTTAAAGAAATCACCTCTCCATAAGAAGTAAGTGTTATTTAAACAATGATCAGCTAGTTTCGTAATATCTTTTGGTAAACCTGTATTCTGTACTAGTGTATCAAGTAATTTAAGCGACTCGTTCACTGGAACCTTTGTGAATAGAGAAATCACATCAAAACTCACCAGAATATCATTAGGGTTAAGTTTGATATATGTAATCACATTCACAAGATGTTCTGAAATGTTTTTATGAATGAAGATGTCCTACAGATGTAGGGCTGTATTTGTTTATTTATATATTTTGCTCATTTATATGTGGCAGAGCCAATTGTACTGACTGGGTCGTAATGGGATGCCGATTTTATTAACCTTTGGTAGCCCATACAGTCTTGGTGGTTTTGAGGCCCTTGGCTTAATTCGATATTGCTCATTTTTAGGGATTAATGAATTTGCAATGATTGCCGTAGTCTTACGTTCCAAAGTGTTAGTTGGATCTCGTTTAATTTTAATGTAGGTACTTTCGTCTAGTAAATCTTTAATTTTATTATCATAATCGGCTCGTGACATCACTACAGTAGTGCGACCTTTATCAGCTACCAGGATTTGAATGTTTATTTAATCGGAGCTCTCCTGTATTATTGCCGGAAAGGATAAACGCCTATTCGTTTTTCATCACTTGTCCCATTCTAGATTTGAAGCTTTCGTGACTGCAAGGATCCATACCCTTTGGTTCTATTCGGTAAAGTCACGTAGGTAAAAAATAAAACAACAAAAATCACGACGTTTCGGCCACAACACAAGCGGCCTTCATCAGGTGAAGGGACCAGACTGTCTCGAAGACTACGCTGGAGTGAAACAGAGCCAAGCTCAGACCACGGCCTTTAAGCTGTGTGAGAGGGATTAAGGTGCCATTGTTTACAATGCCCGCGCAGGGAGGTGGAATCGAACCGGCGACCCTCTGGATTGCAGGTGCCAGTGCGCTGGTAACTGTTACAGTTACACCATGGTGTTGGTAACTATTACACCATGGTAATTGTTACCATGGTGTAA